AAACTTCCATTTAGTTTTATGTCTCTACCTTTGTGTGGTGCATGGAATGTGGTAAACTGAACAGTTGGACTTCTTTGCAAAGTCATACTGAAAGTCAGGCAGAATGACACAGGCTAGGCATAACTAAATGCGAAACACTGAATAATGGTCTCCAGAACGTCAACAAATGATAATTGCAGTTCTTAATCTTGTTCTTTGCTAAATTACTCGGAACCGAAAATGGTGCGAACTACTCCACTAGATGTAATACCCTAGGACTAGAAACACTATGGCTAAGACGCCTGAGACTAAACTTAACACTTTACTATCAGCTTCTAAACCACTTAGTTTTTACCTCTACTAATGGCACTCGACTTTCAGTTGACAATGGCTACAAACTAAGACACACTAAGGATACAGTAGCTATCGAACAATGCAAAACAGCTACCAGGCAAAAGTTTTACTTGATTAGGTATGCACAGATATGGAATAAACTACCAATGGAAATGCGTCAAGCAAGTACATTGGCCTCCTTCAAAAAGGTGCTTAATGACAAACTACAAGAGTTTGCAAACGATAGTAGTTCTAGTTCCCATCTGAGAGCCTCCGAAATTATAGGACCATTTAATGTATAAGCTTAAATACTACACCTGTTGTTTTTTGCCTATATTTATAATTCTAGATAAAACATTAACGGTTAAGATACGTATCCTCAAACAGACAAGAAATCTCGTTTGTAAAACTACTACCCAACACAATAAGTGGAATAAAATGGACATAAACCGACAACATGAAAGAGGTATAACTCACCACAACATCACATGGACAGATGTGCGCTCGTTGGGCACCATATATCCCTCACCAACTGCAACCCACCTTTCCTTAGATAATTTAATATTCTCAACTGCTGTTGGAACAAGTGAAATTCATAAACCTTCCTCATGCTAAGAAAATACACACAAGCAGTAGAAATCCATTAATTAATGCGTCTGAAGCGTATGTATTTACTCCCAACAATGACATTGCAGATCAAATGAGATAAACATATCACTGAATTCAAAATAACACATCAATGAAATATAATTCAAGGATTCTGCACACAACAAAGTTATGTATGAAAATTGACTTCAAGCTTTATTTTTTCCCAGGCACTTATAATCCATCCACCAAAGACCTGGTTTTTTGTTAATGCGAAGACAATACTTCTGTATTTCCTGATGTGTTGCACTCACTGACAATCTAGCAGATTTTTCCAACTGTGCACAGAAATGATTGTATATAAGTGAAAAGGCTGTTTTATACTACTGGGATTAACATTTATCAAGTGTATGTAATATCTCCAGCGGACATATAAAGCATATCTTGTTGCAGCGTGTAAATTTTGATTGAATTATATGGCTCTATTTCTGTAACAATTTGATGATGCCTGTAAACTGGCGTCCCTCATGTACTGTACTATGAGAATAAATTTATTTATTTATTCATGTGCGTAAAGAGGGAATATATTATTGTAAGACGCATTTTATTGTTTTATGAGGGACTTGACTTCAAGCTTTATTTATTTTCCTAAGTATCTGTAATCCATCCAACGCATACTTGGTTTTTTTGTTAATGCGAAGTCAATATCTCTACATTTCTTGGTGTGTTCCATTGAATAACCAGTTATCCGATTTTTCCCACAAACTGAAGATAAAATGACAGCAACCATGTTATTTAACCGTATTCCATGTAATTTAAATATGTAACTTAAATAATACTTATCCATGGCTTTACAACTTGTGTGTCCTGCATTTGTAGGAATAATTATGTACCTTATTATATTATCATTAGTGACTATACTTACTGTTCGTATGTGTAATTTATCGAATTGATGATGCCTGTAAATTGGCGTCCCTCATGTACAAAAATGAGAATATATTATAATTATTATCATTAAATGACAAATAAATACCTTTCAGTAACATCTTCATCCACCCGGGATTCTTCTCCTACTTTGCAAGTGTTTTTTGTGCTTTATCACTTTTGTGCTAAGCTTTAAGTTATTCAACATATGCCGTTATTGACTAAGGACCTAGATGATATTAGTTGAGTAAGGTTTCGGTCGTGCAAACACGAGTCCTGTGCAGGTGATTGGTTGCATTATCATTTCCCAAATGGTATACAGCATACTGTATATTAGGGTAAGTCTTCCGCCTTGCTTGCTGAAGGTTGTGTTCCTCAGGGTACTGTTATCTCTCCTTTTCTTTTTTCTCTCTCTTGTCTTACATGACTTTTCTCTTTCTAATGAGAGCAACTTCGTCAAATACGCTGGTGATCTGACCGTCTCACTTCCTATCATGTCACAATGTGTCACCAGGAGGACTTTATTTTTGAGTTTATTTGTATATATACTATTGCGCATCGAGTTGCACTGCGATTCCACATGTAGCAGAAGATTATGAATACCTTGCTCTTCTCTTCTGCATAAGAAAGTTACTTCACAAGAACCGCTATATTTAACTCAGTAAGGAAAAATATGAATTTCTCCACTTCAGTGTTGTGAGTTAATTTGTGAACTGTGTAGGCCCCTAAAGTAATGCATTCGGCGTGCATGCTGAATAGTGAAATCAGGAGTGTGCATGTTGTACTAAATCTTCTGTGCTTTTGTATGGATTCCATGTTCATGAATTGACCACTTAACAACTGCTGAGTGTTGCATGTGATCCAGCTGAAATTATAACTGATAATTCCAAGAATTTCTGTCGTTTTCATCGGCAGCGGTTCATAGCCTATTGATTTTACACAAGTACAATACCCATTGCTCACTATAATGAGGAGACATTAACCATGATTCCAGAAAAGTAGTACGTCAGTATGTGAATTTCATGAATCTGTAGATTGCATTCCATTCACTTAATACTGAAACTAAACTATGAGGGAACTGATATTTCCAAGAATGATATAATACAAGGCTCATTTCTACAACTGCCGTCCTTATTTTAGTTCACTTTCATCATACATGTATTAACAAAATTGTGTGTCACTCACTTCAGGGACTTACCAGGGAAAAGTCTTGTCAACTTAGTGTATGCTAATGACATTGTCCACCTAGGTTGTGAGAAGTGACCATTGAAACTGGAAGATACGAAAAGACTACTGGTTTTTGATCGCAGTGTCTGTGCCCTTTCTTCTGTGTTAAGTAGTCTAAAATGGTGAGTAATATTGGGGTGAAGCTTAGTGTTAAGTAGAAATGTGACTTCAAACGTTGTTTATAACACAGATGCATTCACTCTGTGTAATCTTACATATCTGAGCAACCATTGTGTTCTTTCCATATCACTGTTCGTTTTCCGTGACATTTATGCTCATTAGAGTTCCATTTGATTTCTTTTTTCTCTACCTTTGTGTGCTACATGGAATGTGATAACGTAAACAGGTGCACTTGTTTGCAAGCTTCTCTGTTGAAAGTCAGTCTGTCAGAATGATCTATAGTCCAGGTATAATGAAATGCTAAAACGTGGATAAAAATAAGCAAAATGTCAACAAATGATAATCGCATTTTTTTATTCGGTTCTCGTCTAACTGAAAAAGAGTTGTCTTACAATAATTTCTCCTCCTACTCGAGATAAGTTTTACACTCTGTCCCGTTACATCTCAAAAGTTGCACTTCTCCACCGAGTTCCATGTTAAAACTCAGTCAGTCGGCTTTGTCACTGCAGCTGCCTAGTGTCACAACTCACTACAGTGTTAATTGGCACAAACAATTATGAATGCCGTTTCTTAAGTACTCAGTGCATTTCCCAATTCCTTAAATTGTCCAGATAAAGTGCACTGAAGAAAACATAAACCAAAAGTCAGTAACATGGACATAAGAATTAGTGCTAATAGAAGTGAATTAGATGAGTGATTTTTTTAAACCTTTAGTACGCATAACTGAAATACTCATGTATCATTCACAAGATGCTTGTATCACAGAGGGCACTGAAACATAAACTAAGTCTAACATGAAATACCTTGGAGATGTTATTACTTCATAAGATGAGATACAATAATGTACGAGATGCTGCGAATTCAACACTGAAACATTAATACTGTTTTCGAACAAAGCAAATTATTATTACTGTTGCACCTCGCTGCAGTGTTAATCTGCTTATACCCTTATTATTGCTGTATCCTAAGTATTGCACTCATTTTCTCATTTCCTTGCACTGTGTAAATAGGGTGCAACGAAGAAGTTAAAGTGAACTATAAGTAGGTAACGCTGACGCAAGAAATGGTAGCAGTCGAAAGAAATGAAATGAGTTGAAGACCTTGTAATAATACTAGTAATCTCCCTTATTCCAAAACAGTACTTGACTTATTTACCTATGCATTTTAACGTGTCTTCTAATTATCTTATTTTTGTCTTTGTAGACATTGCCTAAGGTGCCGTTGTACGGATCTTCTGGAAGCAGTCTTTAATTTCATCTACCTTCCGCGAAGTTTGACGTACGAAAAGTCAAAATTTTACTGACTGGAAAACGCTACAATTGGTGTTACTCATGAGGCGATACGCTTGACTAGACACGTTATAGCAACGTATGTCTGTAATAACATTACCTACATAGTAAATACAATGCTAGTTACAAAAACTCGTCATTATCTTTTCATTGCTTACTTACAAGAAAAAAACGTTCACCTTACTTCTCATACTAAGTACTGGAGATTCCGCCTAGTACTCACTTTTACTTGCTCTCTAGAAAATGCTTTCTACTATATTCGCAAATGACTATTAGACTTCTGTCACATGAAACGGTAAAACATAAGGCGTATGCAGTTTAGAAGTTAGGGTATATTTGCATTTATTGACACTAAATTTAAGTACATCTTCCATTATTATACAAGAAAGTTCTCAAAGTAATTCAGAGTTGCTCGCAGTGCACTAATAGTATATTCATTACTATAATTATCCTGCATAACTGCGAAGCTTCTGTTCAATTGCCTGCGAAGTTGCAGTATCTCCATGCAGGGTTTCTTCACTGAACCTTCACACGGCACACGATTTGGTAGCAACGGATCCTGCCAAAACCATCTGCGACACAGGCGAATTACTTTGTCAACTAAAAATATTAATTTAAATATTAGTAAGAGTTTGATTTACCTGTAAACTGAGGAATTTGAGTGTGACATAGCAGCATATGCCGGCAAGGTATTCTTTGTGCCCTAAATATTCTGCAGGTACAAGTAGAATTGGTATAATCCACTTGGTGCAGGTATATGCCGTCACCACCTCTCCATATTTCCGATATAACTGAACCTGTGATTCCAGGGCGAAGCAAATTCTGCTGGTTATCCCTGTATTCGAATCCACGTATTCAACCACCTGACCACTTTGCCTTATTATGCGCATAACATCTGATCTCAAAAGCATGGCTTCCAAAATAACTTTAAACTACATCACTTACCTGGTCTCACATCCTTACGTAAATTATACACATCTGTGCTCGTCAAAACTTTATTAAAATTCTCTTCAGCATATTCCAAAACATCAGCAACCTCAGATGTAGTCTTCACAACTGCTGCAATATTCTCCTTTTCATCCCCGGATAGGCTTCTAAAATATGGATCACCTATCATAAGACTTTTTTCACATCTGTGATTGTGAACTGTTAACGCGGAAGAAATGATAAACTAGTCCTCCTTGTAGCGTATACGAAAGCCAGATTGGCAACCGGTGTATTTTGCACTGCAGAAATAAATAATAGAATTCTTACGGTTTGACGCGTAAACCTGAACCTCTAGTTTTTCGCTTCATGCTATATGTACAACGAAAGACTACTAATTTTTACTTCAAATCCTGAGATTCATGGTCCCGTATGCACTTTTTCATTACATAATGTGTATGAGTTGCCTAGGAATACTCTGTCATACATATATACATATATTACTGATTCCAGCTGACTTGGAGCATCTTCTACTTGAACCCAACTGGTATACCGGTGACTAAACATAATTCCGTCAAAAAGGTTTTTGATATCCACTGATATAAGAAGGGCAGGTTGGTCGCCATTGTCTCCAAGTGCCAATGCGTCCATTCGGTACCACTGTAAATGAAAACAGAAGCTTTTGAATTAAAAATTCACGAATAGCCAACAGAGTACAGTAAGCAACTTGAAATTAATATTGACTTGGAAACTGTAGCGGAAAAAAATATAAATTCCTTACCACAATTACCGTTTTGGAAGGTTCCTGATTACAGCCACAAACATTTACTGAAACACTCGTGAACGACAAATATGGACACAAGTGATGAAACGAAGCTCTACAAAAATCATTGAGACGCCACAAACAGGAGGATTTTAGGTGCACCCTATAATTTTCACATGAAACACATTCTCAAACATCCTCCTGCACCATAACTGCCATCAGGCCCAGAGGCAGCTTTTGACGACTATTCTTAACAAAATCAATACCGTTCAAGCCAAACAAAAACCAGAATCACGTCAAATGCAGCTACCTAGATCTAACGGAACAAATCAGCCAAACTGAAATCAACTAGACCGCGCAAATGTCCTCAAGGTAAAGCTGGAGGCGCCACTTCAAACAGGGGATATGCCTTATCAACGCCCCAGACTTGATCATCCCAGACGTAGGATTAAATTCAACCATCGCTTCCGAATTAAACCTCTATGTCATAAGTTCAGGTGTCTTGAACTACTGCCAAAGCTCCAGGTACTACATGTGTAGCAGCATCTTCCTCACTCATTCAGATTAACAAGTCATGTTGGTCTGCTGTGAAGTTGAATAGCCCTAAAGTCCTAGGTAAAGTGGAAAACCTTTTATTTTTCTCACCTTATATTTCATCAGTCTTTTTGTTCTTGTTCTATTGGGCAGATAATGTTGCTGTCTCTTATTCATATTTAAGCATAATTTATAATAATTGCTAATATGGCGGTTGAAAGTAGCCATAAAAGCTCTAGACACCATATTCTGTAGTGGCTGGGGCTTCAGCCAGATGAGGAAACAACTCGGGGATATTAACTATATCTCACATACCGGTTCTTAAGAACTGTGTAAATATCGCCTGCTCTGAATATCTACCAAAGTCCAGCACGGAAACTACACAAGAAAAACAAAGTGACAATGAACATGTGTCAACTGTGAGCTAGTGTGTCAAACATAAAAAACTAAAAAGGAAACTCAAGACGTCATAAGACGCCGAGCGCATTTCCTGGAAGAGGAGATGACCTTCGAGCCTGTTATGTTGTTTCCAAAAGTGACTCAGCATTTGAATGCAATTTTCGCAAACACTGGGTGCACTGCTGTTGTGACAAAGGAGTGCCATATCCATACTATGAATTTGCGAGAATATACCTGTGTCTATGGTTCTGATACTTGTGCCCACTTTCTCACCATTGGCACAGTCTCACGTGGCCTGTCGTCGGATAGCAGGAACAGCACATTACTTCTTCATCTCAATACAATCTCAAGAAGCGTTC